AAAAGGGGAAAAATAGAAGTATTTTTAGAATGACGCAAAAAGGAAAGTGGAAAGTATTTTGAACTAGGGAGTAAAAAAATAGTAGACCATAATTCATTATTTCAAATGGCATGTTATGAAAAAACTAGAGTACTTACATTGTAAATAATTACGGCAAGCAAAGTTTATACTCCTTCCGTTCTTTAATAAAAGTCCTTTTTTCCTTTCCATTTAAGAAAAGTTTTTACTTTAAATATACCTTTATACCCCCACTTTTATTACCATTACCCCTTTCTCTTTCCTACTTTTTTATTTACACACTACTCATTACACCTTTTACACTACCCCTACTATTTTCCTCTTAAAACTCGTGTCAAAGCCTAAGAGGACAGATAATAAAGAACGGAGGGAGTAAGTAACATGTCGAAAAATATATTCCTGTGGAGAATTATGTAGCATTATTAGTTGTTTCAAATGTACGAAAATTAACTTGGATTGGTTGTGTGAAAATTAAATATAAAAAAGAAATTACTTTAGAATGTTTGTGATTTAAAGTTTAGTAATTTAACATTCCAGAAAGATGAAAAGTACACATCATATTTATAAAAAAATCAAAGTTCCACTTTACCTAAATTTGCTAATAAGTTTTGTTAGAAATTGAGAAATTGGGTACTTACGGTTTAATTTATAAAAAATTAAAGTTCCACTTTACGAAGTACTATTGAAGCACTATTGAAGTATTTACTAATTACGAAGTACTATTGAAGTGTTGAGATATTCGATCACAAGTTCACAACCTGTAACTTAACTAGTATACTCCTCCCTAAATCAATATGGAAATGGTTATAAATATATGCTTCACTCATTGTAATAATTAAGAAATCTCAATTTTCACCAAACACGTAATTTTTTATTTCATGCGTGAATTGTGTAATAATACAAAAAGTAAGTTAAAATTACTTTTTTTACTATATTGACTGAGATTTCTGTAGATAATCATTTTAGTTATTTTTCATATAATTATTTCTCTATTTTATAGGCGAATTTGTTTTTCTTAAATTAACGTAATAAGTAAATCAGTCATTTCAACCATAAGTTCATAAATTTCAACAGAATCAATCGATTCAATCAATTTTAGTGTTCCCAAACGATTCAATCAATAGTACTTCTTATAAAATTTTGCATTACCTTTTGAAATACATTTACACGTTTTCATTTCACATCTCTCAAATATCATTAACCAAAACTAATTATAGTGTATGATTTTTGTACCGTGCATCGCACGGGTGAAATTCTAGTATCTGGAAAATTAAGTGGTTGATTCTTCTAGTACAAGCATCCACATTTAACTTATCACGCTTTGTTCCAGCCTCTGTCACAAGGAGTTCCTTCACAAGTTCATTCTGAGAAGATACTGCATGATATATTTAAGTCAAACGCCAAAGAACGAATCTTGTTAACAAATGTGAAATGCCAGTTTAAGCATGTTTCATTGGCTTAGCTTGTCGCAATTTTTTTACCATTTATCAACTCTTAAATCCGGCACTCCATCTTAAAAGGTCAACTTATTAGGAGGAGGAGTCCGAAATTTAATTAGCACTCTAATGCTTCTTAATTAATTTACCGGTGTGAAACTTTATCACCAACACTAACTTGCCGATCCGGCGATCCCAATAACTTTCGGTACTGAGACTTGGATGTTGATTTGTTAGGAACATAAAACGTTATCCATACTATACACGTATACTTCATAAAAGTATATTAAAATATTAAAGTATATTAAAATATAAAGGCATTGACTTCAATCATGGAAAAAGTTTGGTTTAATCAGTATTTTCAGTTCTATCTATACGTTTATTTCCTAGCGTTGTCTAGAGATATTATTTTCGGTGGCGAAGTGTCGCTCGCCAGATCTATATTTTCCGCCATCATCGGTCGGGTGTTCTTGTGTGCTAGTAAGAGGTTTGTATTGGCTTCTTTATCCATCATGAATCAGAATTTCTTCTGCATCGATATAGATCAGAGGCCGATCGCCCCCCTCTTGAACCACCGCCGATCCAGGAAGATGACATTCGATGGATTGCTTTCTTTCCGGTGGCTGGTCAACCCGAAACAATTTCTGCACTTGACTCCTTACAGGTGGTTGGAAAAATCGGCAAGTTCAATAATTCCTTTTCGGTGGCTGGTCTAGCCGAACCCATTTCGAGTAGCATGAGCAGACACACTGCGGTACGAGTCTACATTGTTGCAGGGTTAGCGAACATGAGTGCTTTTATATGGCGTTTTTGTTCTTTGTCTCACCCTGGTGTAGTTTTAATCGCTATGATTGTAATGCTTTGGCTTTTAGTTGTTATGTTTCTTGTTAAGATCTGATTATCAATAAAATAGTTATTTGATTTTCAAAAAAATATAAAGGCATTAAGAATTGAATTCAATTTCATATATTGCTTTATTAAGCTTCCAAAATACGGAGTAGAAGTTATATTTCCTAGCACATGGAAGTATGTAACCCTAACTTTAATAATGAGTAATATGCACTCCGTATATGAAAATGAGTACACCGATCGAGTACTCTTATTTTTAAAAATCGAAAATGAAATGACACTTTAATAAAATTCACATTAAGGTATCATTAACATCTTTTGTTTGAATAAAGAATTTAAATAATCAAAATAATGACACTTAATAAATGTCGGATTATAGTACTGATCTGAAAATAGATACCACGTATATAGTTGACACTTGATAGCTCATGTCATTTCAAGGACATCAGATAAAATTGAAACGATATTTGATAGCTCATATGAGTACTAGAAGACTCACTCCTACATTGTCTCATGCCTAGTAAATTTTCTTTGGTTTGGATATATACTACTCTAGGTTGCATTGCCGAACTATATAGGAAATGTATGTGGGGATAAAGATTTTGTTTTACTCTATGCATGTCTGAAATGTCTAGAGCCAAGTTTTGGTTTCATTATCTCAAGTTCTAGCAAGCCAGTTCTTCTAAAATACGAAGTAGATTTTAGATTTACTTTTCCTTTGTTGACCACATTCTGAATTCATTAATTAGTTGGGAAAACTATCAAGTTCCTCTACTATGACAAAAATGTCAATTAAATCCTTGTACTTCAGAATCACCCAATCAAACCCCCAAACTATAAAAAAGATTCAATTAGGTCTTACAACTGGTTAACGATCGGTGGCCCGTTAAAGTAAAAAAATAAAATAAACTATAGCTGTATCTTGGTATATTTACACACCCAAAATTAGATCTAGGCTTCCAGTAGCCTGAGCAAGGCGCCGGCGATGAGTTGAGCTTTATCTTCTCCATTCTACTAAGCAAGGAAACGACGACGAGGAATTATCTTCTACAGCTAAGTCTTAAAAAATTGGGATTTCTACAAGAACCTTTCAATTCCTTACAAGGTTTCTACAAAGCTAAGTCTTGTACCGCAGGTTTCTGTTCAGGGTTTTGCATATTAGCAAACGCTTTCCACCATTAATGGCGACTTGGAGGTTTGGAGCCGTCTCACAACATCAAACGCAGTTCAGCCTTACTATAAATTAGCTATGGAGTTCTAAGTGAACATTTTTGCTTGAGGTTCAATTACAGGATCGTTACTCCGAAGATCTACAATCTCTTGCTTGCTTTGGTCGGCCTCAAGAAATCAAGAATTTAAAGGTGGAGGTCATGGTCATTCCTTTGTCGGCACTCGGCAGTAGATATCATTCGGGTTTTTTCCACTTTTAGTCCTCCGACTATTACGTCGTTGGCACTTGTACCCGAATTTGATTTTTTTCATTTTTAGCCTTTGACTATTTCGTTATAGACACTTTTAGTACCTGTCTTTGAAAATTTCTATATTTAGTCTTTCAACTTTCATAAAAATGACACTTTTGATCCTTCAACTATTATAATAGTGACATTTTTAGTCCTTCACTTATTGTGTCAAAATCATAATGGGAGGATTAAAAGTGTCAATTTGACAATACTCAGGGATTAAATGTGGGAAACCTTGAAGTTGGGGATTAAATGTGTCTCTAGCACAATAGTGAAAGACTAAAAAAAGAAAAATTAGAAGTCGAGTACCAAAAGTGTCATTGACATAATAGTCGAGGGACCAAAAATGGCAAAAACTCATATCATCGGGTCATACATGGGGAACATGCCAACATGGAAAAAATTAACACACGTAGACTCCACATAAGCAGTAACCAGGTTAACCGGTTAGAAACTGGCTAAAAGGTTGGATTGGACTTTTTTTTGATAGTTTAGGGACCTAATTGAGTGACAAGAACTTAATTGCCGTTAATGACATAGTACGAGGGCCAATCTGATAGTTTTCCCTTAATTAGTTCTTTTTGTTTGTTGGTCCAGGTTTTGTTAGCTATTGGTTGATACGTGTGATTCATTTTTTTTAGGGATCTACGTGTGATTCTTATTAGAAGCTTTGGTTGACATGTGTTTACTTTAATTTGTATATAAATTTATTAATTTGATAGGATACATTTTAACTTTTATTTATTTGTTAAAGTGGCCAAAAACTTGATGTTTATAATTATTTCTACTATACGAATCTCAATTGCATTTGTACATTTAATTCTTCTCAAGTAATGTGGGAAATGTTTCTACTAAAAAAAGAAAATGGGAAATGTTTCTTAGCCAAAATCAAAATGCTATATATGTGTGTAGTAGAACACTATAAACAGTAAAGGTCGAAAAGATGCCAGAAAGAAAATAATACTCCCTCCGTCCCTAAATTATCTTCAAACTTTCCTTTTTCGTCCGTCCCAAAATTATCTCATTTTCCCCTTTTTGGCAAAGAATTTGTGGTTCACAACCATTCTTACACATTCTTACACATTTCTCTCTCCTCTGCACAACTCTCCACCACACAAATCCCACTATATATAATGTTCCCGTGCATTCCTGTTGTAGAATGTTTTAGTGCATTCTTCATGTGGCTTAATATAATTGGAGCATATTCCAGGTAAGCAATTTCATTTAAAACTTTAAAAATTTGCATTCTCAACCCTGCAGTCCTGCATAATATAATAAAACCTCCTATTCACTTGTCTAGAGTCCAGACTCGGTTTTTTTTGTATCTCGAACCATCTCCTTCTTTCATCTTTATCTTCACTTCTAACAGCAAACATGTCGGCATACTATCGGGAATCCACCTATCCCCTTGCCAAAGCCACTGTAGAACCGTAATTGTTCTAAGCCGGAACTCATCTGCTTCATCAATAAAATTGCTACCAGGTAAGATTTATCCTTTTTATTCTGAGGGTCTATGAAACAAGAAGAAAACCCCCTTCTTCTTTTTTAAAGTCCGAATTCAATTATCACTTTAACTGATATTTGTATGAAAATTACGAATTGATTAGATGAGATGTCTGCTATTTCAAAAGTTTATAGTGCTAATTGCTATTAAAATTTTATGATGTCGGTTGATTATGAGATGCCTCACTCAAAAAGAGAATATTTTTTTGAGTGACATTATTGCTGTTCTTCCGGGACAAGACAAGCTTATGTATTTGCTTGGGGATATGATCGGATTGCAATTTCTAATGTGCTAAAAGGTTTGATCTAAGGTTCTTGTTGTTGTTTGCTTCATTTGTTTTCTTAATTCCTCAATAAGCTGCATGTTTTTATTTGCTCCGTATGTATGCATATACCTTAAATGGCACTAGAAAACAGAACGCATAGAGTAACCTCTTTATAAGAACATACATATGTTCTTTTATATAGATCTTGTTGGGTTAATGGCCCAAGTAGAAGTTCGGCCCATTTACCCCTTTTATTCGGACGGACGTTCGGACAGAACTAGGTAGGCTAAGCTGACAGGCAACTTGGAAGGGACGCACGTTGTCACCAAAGCCTGGGTTTACCCGCCATATCAACGAACGTCTACGCAGTCAACAAGGAACAGGCCGACAGGCCCCCCAGAATGACGACGAACGTCGTCAGAAGCAAGCCCATAGCCGTTGGAGGCAGTCCAATCCACATGGCAAAATCCACAAAGGGCCAGAGGACGAACGGCCCGATACCCTTTGGGAAAGCACCAGGAGCGAATCACCTCCCCACCTGGACGAACGTCGCCACTAATTAGGCGGGAAACCTAGATTCTGGCGGGAAGTGCATTTAATGCTGAAGATTTGGTGGTTGAGACACCAACCATCCGCAGTCCTCCACGTCAGCGTAGCCAACTGCCCATTGGCGGTATAAATAGAAGCATTTATTTCATTGTAAAGGGTTGGCAACTTTCTATTCTTAGCAATCTAGCTACAGCATTCTTATTCGTAGCACTTCTATTGCCTTGTAAGACGAACGGCCGACGAGCCTTAGCGAAAGTATTGTATTAGGGAGTTATTAACAGATAATAATACCTAATCACTTATTCGCTGCTTACTGTTCTCCTTGATCCATATCACTTGCTAGTTGGGCTAGATATTCATATACACTCCACTCGAAATCCTTGGGCTTACGTGTTGGACCCGAGGGTTGAAGGAATAAACCTCAACACTGACGCCGTCTGTGGGAAACTGAACTAAAAGTTTCCAAAACTCTCCCAAACAGCTACTAAATCTACCCACAGCAAGCACGATGGCAAGAGACAACCAACCACATGACCTTTCGGAGCGATTGTCTCGCGGACGGAGGAGCCGCGGGCAAACCACTGAGCGTTCAGAAACGCTGGGAACTGCCAGGGACGACGGTGGCCTCACCAACCTCATCCCACATGAGGCCAGACGCGATCCCTGGCTCATGAGGGAGCTGGCAGAAACCATGCGCCGAATGGCTGACGAGGAGGTGTACTCGGCCAACACCATCTGGACGGCCATATCGCCAATATAATCCACCACATGCAGTCCCTGGATGAGACAGCGGATTCTGCAGAACGCCGGACATCCGTCTACACGAGGTTGGGCCGGAGCCCGCCGGCAGGGAGCTCCCATGGGACTAGGGGGCTCACCAATGCCAGCACCCCACACTATGGTTGGCAGGACGATCATCGGGGACGCACGCCGGATGTTCCCTCAGAATGTCAGGATACGGCAGCCACCCCAGCTGCCAGCAACATTGGACGACGTTTCCAAAGCAACATTGGACGACTTTTAGCGGTCTTCTTTTAATAGTCTGACCTTTTTCGTTATTCATGAATAATCCAACCTTTGCAACTCATCTTCATTCATTGGTCTGCGACCGGTTGATGACCTGCTATTCCGAGTTATTTTCTTATCTCTTCAAACTATTATACCATAAATTCCACCTTTCACAAAGATAATATTTTGCAAAGATAAGAAAATAACTCGGAATAGCGGGTCATCAACCGGTCGGGGACCAGTGAATGAAGATGAGGTGCAAAGATTGTATTATTCATGAATAACGAAAAGGTGGAACTATTAAAAGAAGACCGCTAAAATGTTGGATTATTAGTTTCCATTTTCCCTAAAATTAATGAGTAAAACCTTTTTTTTTTTACTGAAAGTAAAACCTTAGTTTTTAACTTTAGGAAAAGAACGTTTTCCAAAAAAAACTTTAGAAAAAGAACGATAAAAAAAATTGAAAGGAAAGAAAACAAATTGGAAAAGCGTTGGAATTAGTGGAAAGAATTTCTATGTGAGTTTCCGTGAGCACAAGGCTATAAGACAGTGTAAGAGGACTAATCCGTCCAAGAGTAGAATAATAGAGGCGCGCCTAGTCACTTTGGTGGTGCACAAAGCAACACCCCCATGTTGGCTACGTGTATTGTTTTTGAGAAAATAAAATAAATATCCAAAACTTGTATAGTTATATTATCGTAAAAATATCCAAAACTTGTATATACGATAGTATATAATATTATCGTATATAAAATAGTACTACGTATATAATATACTATCTTTGTCTCGTTTTATTTAGCCATTTTTTACTTTTTCAATTAAAGATGATAAACTTTGATTTATTATTTTAATTAATATATTTATGTGAAAATTAATAAATTTATACTTTTGTGATTGTATTTTAACAAAGAACATTTCATATCATTTTCATATTATCAACAATTACCGTGTATTAATATATAATCCGTCAAAATTTAACATCTTTGACTTGGAAAATAGTGATTAGCTAAATAAAAAGGGACGGAGGGAGCATATCTCAACTCTTATGGTGTTAAATACATAATTTTAAATACACAAAACATTTATGATGATCCAATTAATAGCATCTTATACCAGATATAATATTATTTATTTCAAAAATAAAATTTTAGAATGCATCCAAACAAAGCTTAGAGAGTTTTAAGTTATATACTTGTCCAATAAGTTTATATTTGCAAAACATATATAATGATGGTGAAAAAATATCTTTTTATATAAAACCTCTACATACTCAGGAGATGATTTTATGGGCAATGCTTCACAGAGCGAGAAAAGAACTCATATATCGTTAGAGGAGGATCTATGGGATTCTGACGCAAATCAGGATATTTGCTACAAATCTCGAATAATGGTCACAGTGGAAAACTGCTTACCAACACAGAACTTGAACACTCAAATCAAAGTGTACAGGAAAAAGCATCAATGTTCACATCACATGCGAACTAGATCTCAATCAAGAGTGGAATTCGGAAGACTCGATTAAGCTCATAGGGACAGGTTCCAGGGATGTTTTTCTTATTGTACTTTGGGTTGTTTTTGTTTTTTGTTCCTTTTAGCTACTTTGCATTCTGTTTTTCCCGTGTACTTTCTCCTCTCTTACTTCAATAAAATTTCATTTCTCCAAAAAAAAAATATATAAAATTCGGGTATATGTAAACCTCTTCACAATTATGGCATATCATCAATACGCAGAACTCACGCTTTCTAATTGAGTATACACGTCGAAAGCTAGGTTTTTCTCTTGCTTTTCGAGAACTAGGTTTTCTCTCGCGTGTCCAAAGTGGTGCAATGTCGCACTTATGCAGTCAGTTTTTCTTTGACATTTTGATCAGTGCACAGTCTAGAAAAGATAATTATGACTTCTATGTATGCTCTAGAGCAGCTTGTCCCATTCCAGCAATTGAGGAGGAGATCGAAGAGTTAGCTTTTGGGGGTCAACATGGGTGGAGGGCGGTGGCGGTAGTGGAGGCAGCACGGGCAATGAGCAAACATGGAAAAGTGAAGGGCTGAGCAAGAGAGAAGACAAATCGGTGGTCCGCCCCTCTCCTGAACCACCGTCTTGAAGCGATCGAGGAGCTAGGGTTTGGAAGATTTATCAGATATTTTATTTTTTATGGTCTTATTTTCGCGTTATGTTTTATGTTGCTCTATTTTTGTTGATGTCTTTAGTTCTTGTCTATAATAATGATTGGCAATTCTGCTGGATATTTTGTCGTTAGAATGATCTATATTGTCTGTGATTGTTGTGTCACGCCCGTTTTGGTGGTTTGCAATTCATATTGCTCTTTCAGGAGTGATTGTCTCTGAGTCTAGCGTAGGGTTAATAGTGCTAGTTGGTTACGGATAGGTGTTGTCAATATTGTTGGTCTCTTGGAATTTGTTGTAACAATCTGAATCCCAATAATATTAATATAATCAGTTTTTCCTTAAAAATAAAAGTTCGAGTATGTATTGTTGACCCAAGTTTGGGTGCTTCTCTCACACCTTTTCAAAGTTTAAGTTATTTATGTTATTTTTCTCATTTTTTATGTCAAGTTCAAAAATAGGTAATTAGGAATAAATTGCTTAGAGTGTCTATCGAATGTTTTTTTAATATAATTTGCATCCAGTTTAGCACAACAATGACTTAACGTTTAACTTAAAACTAAATTATACATAATACATTTAACCAAATAACGTATTTTTATTTGTTATGTAAGTACGTGATTGATTCTCTAGATTTTCCTTGTAATCATTCTCAATGCAAAATTTTAGAGTCTGTTTGGTATCTCTATTTTTCGGCTTATCAATCAATTTTTATTTTCACCAAACACGTAACTTTTGATTTTGCATGTTGAATTGTGTAATAATAAGAAAAGTAAGGTTGAAGTTAGTTTTCTAATTGTATTGGCTGAATTACTGTAGAGAATCATTTTAGCTATTTTTATATAATTTTTTCTTTATTTTATTAATAAAAAATATTTTAAATATAATATTTTCATAAACCAGCAGAATCCACCAATCTATCCACTTCAACCGAATCTTCATAAATTTCAGTTGAACCAGTCGATTCAGACAATATAAATGTTACCAAACGGACTCCTAATGTCTAGACTATTAAAAAGTATGAGACTTTTGTGAAGACTTAGCTTTATGGTTCAGCATCATTACGTGAAAATATTATACAAGTGACACACACCATACCTAATTCTTATGTGAAGTCTTTGAGCTCAAATTAAACAAGATATATTTCAAATATTGATCTCTAGTAATCATGTTAATCAATGTTTTCTCTCATCTCAAGCGGCAATGTTTTCTCTCATGTTAGATGTATGGTTTTATGAGCCCATTTTTAATCCGTCCAAGTCGGGATTATCTGGTGTTATTATAAATATTATTAGAACACAGACATTAATATAGCCAAATATCTAAAAAAAAAAACATTTAGAATTCCGGAGTACGGAGCACTCTTTAATTAATTATTATTAAATTACAACAATAATAAGAATATTAAACTATTATTAATCCGAGAAGGAATTAAAATACTACGTCTATTAATACTTGATTAGGATACTTTATTTATTACCTCATAATCCTACTTGATCATGACTGCCATAGTCATTAACTTATTAGGACTAGGACTGGGATACTTGCTTAATTAAATAGTTTTCTCTCTATAAATACAATTAGATGCTGCACGTAGCATGCAAGCATAATCATATCCCAATCAATTTCTTTGTTCGATCTTCAACTAGTCTAGCTTATTCATGGCTTTAATCACTTTCTTTATTTTTATGATCTTATTCGCCAGCGGGCTGTCGTTCCCGGTTCCGGCGGATCATTACTATCAAATAAATTTACCGAACGGAATCGTTGGCCCGGAGAGTATTGCTTTTGACTGTAACGGAAGAGGACCATATGTCGGTGTTTCCGATGGGAGAATCTTAAGATGGGAGGAATCTGTCCGAGATTGGACTGAATTTGCTGTCATGACACATAATAGGTACGCATATTCCAATATTTATTTATTTTTAACATTCATAAATGTGTACTGGCTGGGCCATAACGTTTATCGATGTTTTCAATCCATTATACGATCGTATATATATACATAGTATGGTTTTGGGATTTTTTGTTTTCGATTCTTACATTAAAAAGATGTGGTCGTAGTAATAATATTATAATTGAGAAAAGGCTACAAATTCTATCCATATATATGAAGTGTATTTTTATCTAATTTGTAATTGAACAGTTTTCAAGAATGATTTTAACTACTCCGTATAAAATAGTAAAATTAGGGGAAAGAACATAATTTGGATTGGTTAATATATACTAGCTCCGTATCTTCTTCAAAAACGTACATCAGCTTAGGAAATAATGACGATATAATTTGGATTCGCCAATTTACATACATACTCCATATCTTTTTCAGAAAGGCATATAAGCAATCGATTAATAGACATATAGAATCACTCGTCTTACAGATGTTTTTATTTGAAATGTAGTTTACTAATTTGGCATAATTTGAAATTAGGTGGATAGAATATGAAATTTGAAGACTGTAATTATGTACACATTATATGAACACAACTTTACCGTATGATGCATAATTATATTATATTGATTTTGCAGTATTATGTTTGTTATTAAAAGAATGTGTCTGCAATTTGGTTATTAGGAATAGACAATTGTGTGATGGAATAACCGACACCCGGAGGGAGCCATTTTGTGGTCGACCGCTCGGATTAAAGTTTCATCCGAAGACTTGTGAACTATACATAACTGATGCTTATTTCGGGTTGATGAAAGTGAGGCCGAATGGCGGGATTGCTACCCAACTTGCAAATTCAGCTCAAGGACATCCATTCATGTTCCTTAATGATCTAGACATCAATCCTATTAATGGAGCTGTCTATTTTACCGACAGTAGCATTCGCTATCAACGAAGGTAAAATATTGTTCAATGCACGTACAATTGATTGTGTTTAACATTTAATTACTACATTTTCTAACAAAACATCATACATTTGTAGGGACTACTCAAAGATAATTTCCACAGGAGATAGTACAGGAAGGTTGTTAAGATTTGACCCAAATACCAAACAAGTGCGCGTGTTACACGATGGCTTGGCATTTCCAAATGGGATCGTTTTGTCTAGGGACAATTCGTATCTTCTTGTAGTTGAATCACAGAAAAATCAAATCTTAAAATTTCCGCTTTCGAATAACAGAACAAGAACTCCAAGTGTCTTTGCAAGGGTTGACAGGTTTGCTGATAACATCAGAAGGAATGATCAAGGAGATTATTGGGTTGCACTAAATACAGCAAGAGAAGGATACACTGAACCAGTGGGTTTGAAGTTTGATGAAAATGGTAGATTGATTCAAGTAGTGAATGGTGATATTGGAAATACTCTAGAGTTTGTCAGCCATGTTGAAGAACACAATGGAAGAATGTGGTTTGGATCTCCGAGACAACCATATGTTGGCACTATTATTAGAGTTTAGATTTTATTAACTAGTTAAATAGGTATTTGTTTTTATTAATATTATCATACGAATTCTTCCTAATTGAAGACAAATATGTTTCATGGAACTTATTGAGCATAATATTTATTTAGCCCATATGTTTGTAAATAGTCTTGGACCGTAGGGCTGCTATTAGTGAAGCCCATGTAAACTACTGTATAAATACTACTCCTACTACGTAATGAAAGGCATGCATATTTGACCCTAAAGTTTGTCATACAATCCTTTAAAATCCTTTGAAATCAATGTTGGGGACACCCCCCTAATATAGAGTATTGGAATAATTGACTCCCGAGTTTTACATACGGAATACGTGGTATTCTTTTTGGGAAAAAATTGTATATATGACTAAAACATAACGACACTCCCAAAATATGATTAAAAAAAGTAAAACATGCGAAATATGACCAATAAGGATGTTTTTACTTGGACTGTAATTTGCTAGTCTGGTCTGGTCTGATCTGAACTGGTCTGGTCTGGTCTGGTCTGGTCTGGTAAGGTCTGGTTTCTTTGTATTTTTATAACTATCCAAGTCTGGTCTGGTCTGATCTGAACTGGTCTGGTCTGGGACAAATTACAGTCCAAGTAAAAACATCCTAAATACACATGACACCGGCAGTATAATTCCATAAATGCCCTAAATAAGAATGCTTGCAAAACCAATACACTACAAATGGAAACGAACGTTTTTTGGGAGCCATCTTGAATGCATTAACTTCCAGCGTTTTTTTTAGGAGCATATTGTCTATTGCCCTATGCGATCGGATGAAATGATATTTACAAAAAGGAAGTTTTACTTGATCCATTTTCATTTTTATCCATTTTTAAAAAATATTTATCAACTTTTCTTATTTTCTTGATCTTTCATATGATATATATATATTGCATATGATTTAGAAAAAATGTTTTTTTTTTTTTAAATTTTTTATATACAATATTGATACAATTGTAAATACAACGAAAAGTTATTAAATCTAATATAACGAAAATTAAACAATATTATCAAGTAGGATTTCAGATAAATTATTGTTGTGGACTAATTATGGTAGAACTTCACCTACTATAGTCGTATTTGGAGTTATAATAGGCAGTAGTTGAAGACAATAATAAAAGGGCAGTAATTGAATATGTACAGTAATGAAAAAGGGAAGTAATTGAAGATATACAGTAATGAAAGGGCAGTAATAAGATATACAGTAATGAAATGACAGTAATATGAGACGTAATGAAATGGCAATAATAGGAGACGTATAGTAATCAAAGTGCAGTAATAGAAGATAATAATGAAAGGGCAATAATAGGAGACGTACAGTAATCAAAGGGCAGTAATAGAAGATAATAGTGAAAGGGCAATAACAGAAGATAGTAATAAAGTGGAGAATTGTTAAGGAATAAAAGTAGACCTGGAAAGTACAATAATAATAATAATAATAATAATAATAATAATAATAATAATAATAATAATAATAATAATATTGCTCATTAATAGAAGACGTATACAACCGGTTATGTCAATAAACGGTTATCCCTCTAAGACGTGCACATTTAATTATCAATAGCTTGGCCGGCCGTTTTTGTAGGATGAAATAAAGCTCATTAATTAAATCACAAGAGGGCGCTTGTGAGATAAAAAAAAACACTGTGTATGGGCATGAGGCATGTGAGTCATACAATAAGAATAAAATTTGATGTAGTCATAGATGGGGAAAGACGTTCTCTTTTAGTCATAAGTGGGGGAATTTTCTCATTCTTTTTTTCATTTAACTGAACGACGTCGTTTCGTATAAGTGGGGAAGGTTAAAAATTTTCACCAAAGCCCTCCTCCTCCGGCGTTTCTACGTTCCAGAACAGCCTGCGACGATTTGAGCGGAGTGAAGCACAGGGGCGCTAATGGATATACTCCGGGCTAATACATATACGTAGCTTAAGAACTCCGGCGAAGGGGAGGCGCCAACACCGGCTCACTCCCCTGGTTCCGCCCCTGGCTATACCTCTTCTCATCCACTTTAGAAACTACATGAATTTATTTATAGTCGATCACATCGGACCATCACTACCAAAAAAACACGGGATTAGTAGGGATTTTGGCAGGAATTTTGGTAGGGATTATGCAAAATCCGTGCCAAAAACACTTTGGATGGAGCTATTTGGCACGAAACGTCGGAAATCCGTGCCAAATTCCATGTCAATACCGTGTTTTTTTGTAGTGCATTATTGACGGAAGGTCTCTAAAGTTGGGATAATTCTGAAATAATCGATAGTTGGGATTATTATAAGCGGACTGGCAATATTTGGTATTATCACTATCACTTTTTCCTATTATTAATAATACTCCGTAATAGTTAATTATTATTATTATTAGTATTATTATAATTATAGTAATAAAAGTGATAAATTGTAACACCCCAAATAGCGGTCTAGAAATTAAGATATATATTAATTAAATTACGTCATCACAGTACTTTAAGTGTCAGAATAAAATGATAATAGTGATATGGAGTTTAAAAAAAAAGAGGTTTATGACTAATTACCAAAACTAATAATAAGATTAAGTTAAATATATTTATATGTAGTACGTGAGAAATTTTCGTACACCGAGTTGCTAATTAAGGTTTGTGCTTTCGGCCACTATAGTGGTTAATAATGATTAGGGAAAGTTCCCGAAATGGGACTAAAAAAGTTCGAAAATTCCAAAATAGGACTGTCATGTTTTTATTCCTAAAATAGGACTAATTACTGCCAAATTTGAAAAATACTGTCATGTTTGAAGTCTGGTACCGCCAAAACATGACAGTAATTAGTCCTATTTTGGGAATAAAAACATGGAAGTCCTATGTTGGAATTTTCAAACTTTTTTAGTCCCATTTTGGATAATATCTCTAATGATTAATACGTTAAAATTATTACGGAGTATTATTTTCTTTCTGGCATCTTTTCGACCTTTACTGTTTATAGTGTTCTACTACACACATATATAGCATTTTGATTTTGGCTAAGAAACATTTCTCATTTTCTTTTTTTAGTAGAAACATTTCCCATATTACTTGAGAAGAATTAAATGTACAAATACAATTGAGATTCGTATAGTAGAAATAATTATAAACATCAAGTTTTTGGCCACTTTAACAAATAAATACTCGTAGAAGTTAAAATGTATCCTATCAAATTAATAAATTTATATACAAATTAAAAGTAAACACATGTCAACCAAAGCTTCTTATAAGAATCACACGTAGATCCCTAAAAAAAATGAATCACACGTAGCAACCAAGAGCTAACAAAACCTGGACCAACAAACAAAAAGAACTAATTAAGGGAAAACTATCAAAAACTACAATTAAATTAAGTTCTTGTACTTTACAATCACTCAATTAGATCCCTAAACTATCAAAAAAAAGCCCAATCCAACCTTTTAGTCAGTTTTCCAGTTCCTATACCGTGCAACCTGCACACCATGACCATCATGCTCCTGTGCTCAAAACGACGCCATTTAAACATGTTGATCCCACGCGTAAAAAATCGCGTGTTACTGTTCACGAGCGTGAACGGTAACCTTTGTTTTTGTTTTTTATTGTCCAGGCCCTTGTCCAGGCCAGAATGATGTAACTCGTGTGTAATGAAATGTAACTTACGTTGATAGACAGTGTAACTTAAATCATGTCGAAATGTAAATTGTCCAAAATGGAATATAAGATGTAAAACATTGATTTCAATGTAAATAATGAAAAAAAAAGAGTCTAATTGTTCAATTATTTTTCGTAAATAGTGAATATGTGTTATTTGTAATATTAGAACCATTAAAATTGTTTTTAAGAAAATTATTATTTTGTGTCAATAGAAGAGTTTATTTTGTGATGTAACTCGCGTTATAACAAATGTAACTCTCATTTATAGAAAATGTAACTCATGTGTATGTAAAGTGTCACTTGCTGTAACAAGTTTAAATGTAACTCACTGATACAAAATGTAAATCGTGCATAAAAATGATGTAACTCCATATATTATGATATGTAACTAGAAGTTAAAATAAATTTTGTGATTAGATTAAAGTGAGGGCTTTGCCAGAATTTAAAGGAGTTCATTCTCATCATTCTCTTCCACGTTAAAGTTGGCCTGTAAAATGGATGACCGGTTGTTTTGCCAGTTGATTTTTGGAGTAGTTTCCATCCATTGATGATTTCATGATGAATTGATATGAGATGAACTAGCTATTATTTGATCGGAAAATTCTTCAGAAAAATCTGCTAGCTAAAATAGATGGTCTAGCTTGTTGCGGCCAGAGCATAGAAAGCGAGGGAAGCCGTCAGTGCAACCGGCGGCAAGCGGCGGTGGGTAAACAAAATTGGCCTTCTCCTCTACGGCTCTACCTCGCACATGGCTATGGACCTATGGCAGCACTGATTAGTCAAAATTAGTACCCAACCACCTCTTCTCCATAGACAGAGGCTCCCTGATATAAGCCACATAGCTTCTCCATGGACGGCGGCGCAGTCCTGTTGGTGGCGGCAGATGCGATTGTGGGCGAAGAGAGAGGTTGTCTCCTTGATAATAGTAAAAGCTGGCTGTTAATTTGGAAATAGTTAGGTCTGAGCTATCGGCAAGACCGTTGATCTTCATGTTTCTTACGCTTGGAACGACACCGTATAGATACCGGTATACCATGCGTATAGTATACCGGTCCTACGGTATAATTTGTCGTTTCTAACCGGTTAACCTGGTTAGAAACGATCCTGTAATTGAACCTCAAGCAAAAATGTTCACTTAGAACTCCATAGCTAATTTATAGTAAGGCTGAACCTCCAAGTCGCCATTAATGGTGAAAAGCGTTTGCTAATATGCAAAACCCTGAACAGAAACCTGCGGTACAAGACTTAGCTTTGTAGAAACCTTGTAAGGAATTGAAAGGTTCTTGTAGAAATCCCAATTTTTTAAGACTTAGCTGTAGAAGATAATTCCTCGTCGTCGTTTCCTTGCTTAGTAGAATGGAGAAGATAAAGCTCAACTCATCGCCGGCGCCTTGCTCAGGCTACTGGAAGCCTAGATCTAATTTTGGGTGTGTAAATATACCAAAATACAGCTATAGTTTATTTTATTTTTTACTTTAACGGGCCACCGGTCGTTAACTGGTTGTAAGACCTAATTGAATCTTTTTTATAGTTTGGGGGTTTGATTGGGTGATTCTGAAGTACAAGGATTTAATTGACATTTTTGTCATAATAGAGGAACTTATTTGATAGTCTTCCCAACTAATTAATGAATTCAGAATGTGGCCAACAAAGGAAAAGTAAATCTAGAATCTACTTCGTATTTTAGAAGAACTGGCTTGCTAGAACTTGGGATAATATTGAGATAATGAAACCAAAACTTGGCTCTAGACATTTCAGACATGCATAGAGCCAAACAAAATCTTTATCCCCACATACATTTCCTATATAGTTCGGCAGTGCAACTTAGAGTAGTATATATCCAAACCAAAGAAAATTTACTAGGCATGAGACAATGTAGGAGTGAGTCTTCGGGCAGAATTTGGGCACCAAGAAACTTATTCTTCTAGTCCTCATATGAGCTATCAAATATCGTTCCAATTTTATCTGATGTCCCTAAAATGACATGAGGTATCAAGTATCAACTATAATACAACATTTATTAAGTGTCATTATTTTGATTATTTAAATTCTTTATTTCAACAAAAGATGTTGATGCTACCTTAATGTGAATTTTATTAAAGTGTCATTTCATTTTCAATTTTTAAAAATAAGAGTACTCGATCGGTGTACTCATTTTCATATACGGAGTGCACATTATTATTAAAGTTTCAGTTCCATGTGCCAGGAAATATAACTTCTACCCCGTATTTTGGAAGCTTAATAAAGCAATATATGAAATTGAATTCAATTCTTAATGCTTTATATTTTTTTGAAAATCAAATAACCATTTTATTGATAATCAAATCTTAACCAGAAACATAACAACTAAAAACCGAAGCATTACAATCATAACGTTCAATACTACACTAGGGTGAGACAAAGAACAAAAACGCCATATAAAAGCACTCATGTTCGCTAACCCTGCAACAATGTAGACTCGTACCGCACTGTGTCTGCTCATGCTACTCGAAATGGGTTCGGCTTGACCAGCCACCGAAAAGGAATTATTGAACTTGCCGGTTTTTTCAACCACCGGTAAGGAGCCAAGTGCAGAAATTGTTTCGGTTTGACCAGTCACCGGAAATAAAGCAATCCATCCAATGTCATCTTCCTGGATCGGCGGTGGTTCAGGAGGGGGGCGATCGACCTCTATATCAATGCAGAAGAAATCCTTATTCATGATGGATAAAGAAGCCAATACAAACCTCTTACTAGCACACAAGAACACCCGACCGATGATGACGAGGAATATAGATCTGGCGAGCGACACTTCGCCATCGAAAATTATATCTCTAGACAACGCTAGGAAATAAACATATAGATAGAACTGAAAATACTGATTAAACAAAACTTTTTCCATGACTGAAGTCAATGCCTTTATATTTTAATATACTTTTATGAAGTATACGTGTATAGTATGGATAACGTTTTGTGTTCCTAACAAATCAACATCCAAGCCTCAGTCCCGAAAGTTATTGGGATCGCCGGATTGGCAAGTTAGTGTTGGTGATAAAGTCCCACACTGGTAAATTAATTAAGAAGCATTAGAGTGCTATATTAAGTTTCGGACTACTCCTCCTAATAAGTTGACCTTTTAAGATGGAGCCCAGATTTAACGGTTGATAAATGGAAAAAAATTGTGACAAGCTAAGCCAAAGAAACATGCTTAAACTGGAAATTTGTTAACAAGATTCGTTCTTTGGCGTTTGACTTCAATATATCATGTAGTATCTTCTCAGAATGAACTTGTGAAGGAACTCCTTGTGACAGAGGCTGGAACAAAGTGTGATAAGTTAAATGTGGATGCTTGTACTAGAAGAATCAACCACTTAATTTTCCAGATATTATGTAATTAGTCTGCATCCGTGCATACTTTAGGCGTGCTTCATGTTAGTCGACCCGAACTCTTTGAGATTAAGGCTCGGACGTTGTTGCTACATGTGTCAGTGCATAGAGACGGTTGGCTAGAACCCTCTATTAGTTGCGTCGAACCCTCTACTAAAGGATGCTTTATTTTATCGAAGCGTTAAAGCACTCTAAATGAGATTATTCTCAACTCGAAAAGGTGAAACCACCCACTGCAGGCGTCCCTACACCGCGAATCGACAAAATAAATGAGATTATTCTCTATACTGCAACTAGATAAAACACACAAACTCGAATGTTACCAATAATTGTTGTATTATTATTCCCTAATTGATTATACTACATCCGTTCTAAATTGATTTGCAAATTTGACTTTTCTTAGTCAAACAGTTTCATTTTATTCGCTTAATTAGGATGTCAATTTTTAATTACATTCTAATTTGGAGTTTACTACTTTGAAGAGATTTTAATGTAGTTTATGAATATATAAATTTTAATTATTAAAAACTGAATTATTTATCGATGGGAAGCATTGACCTTTATTACTGGTTGACCAAAAAATGCTAACTTTGCAAAACAATTTGGGAGGGAGCAGTGGCGTATCCAGAAATTTTTGTCAGTGGGGGCGAATTTAAACAAACTATCTCACACGTCATAAACAACAACCACAATAATAAAAGATAGTGTAAAATCAATTAAAATAACAAAAATATTCACGGGACAAAATATTACCATATCATACTTAAAAAATTCATGCAGATAAAATTTTACTTTGTTAAAAAAAATTTAATCACATAGTTTGTAAATTGTAATTTATTCAAAATTATGTTAGCAATAAGAACCAAATAAGAAATGAGTCAATTATTTATTTAAAATTAACTTAAGTTAAGTTGCGAATGCACAAGTATATTTAAAAATTAATTATACTAAATGTAATAATGAATTGTTAAAATTCACAAAACATATTCAATTTTTTTAACTGTAATTAAATTGAAATAGTTCAAAACAAGCAAAAATGTAAATGCAATGCAAAAATAACTTTACATTAGTTTAGAGCTCTTGTAAAAAAACTAGCTTAGAGCTCTTGTAAAAAAGGTAGTTCAGAGCACTTGTAAAGAAAAGTAGTTGAGAGCTTCAAATCGTCGAAGTCTTGAGCTACCACAGATACTAAGACACGGATCAGCTCCGAATCCACTCTACTGCAGCTGCTCAGTTGTCAACAAAGTCGTTTCTAATGTTTAAATTACTTATATTAATACCTATCTACACATATAATTTTATATTTGATATATATACAGGGGTTGGATGTGGGTTGAGAAGAATTGGATGCTTTAATATAGTAACGTCAGCGAAGAAGGAAGGCTTGATTTGGATAAAAGATGTGAATTTTATTAAATATCACATTAACAATATGCTGAAAGTGTTTAGTTAACTTGTTGCCCTTAAAACATGAATTTATAAATAAACCAACAAGAAGTTCCATGAAACATATTTGTCTTCAATTAGGAAGAATTCGTATGATAATATTAATAAAAACAAATACCTATTTAACTAGTTAATAAAATCTAAACTCTAATAATAGTGCCAACATATGGTTGTCTCGGAGATCCAAACCACATTCTTCCATTGTGTTCTTCAACATGGCTGACAAACTCTAGAGTATTTCCAATATCACCATTCACTACTTGAATCAATCTACCATTTTCATCAAACTTCAAACCCACTGGTTCAGTGTATCCTTCTCTTGCTGTATTTAGTGCAACCCAATAATCTCCTTGATCATTCCTTCTGATGTTATCAGCAAACCTGTCAACCCTTGCAAAGACACTTGGAGTTCTTGTTCTGTTATTCGAAAGCGGAAATTTTAAGATTTGATTTTTCTGTGATTCAACTACAAGAAGATACGAATTGTCCCTAGACAAAACGATCCCATTTGGAAATGCCAAGCCATCGTGTAACACGCGCACTTGTTTGGTATTTGGGTCAAATCTTAACAACCTTCCTGTACTATCTCCTGTGGAAATTATCTTTGAGTAGTCCCTACAAATGTATGATGTTTTGTTAGAAAATGTAGTAATTAAATGTTAAACACAATCAATTGTACGTGCATTGAACAATATTTTACCTTCGTTGATAGCGAATGCTACTGTCGGTAAAATAGACAGCTCCATTAATAGGATTGATGTCTAGATCATTAAGGAACATGAATGGATGTCCTTGAGCTGAATTTGCAAGTTGGGTAGCAATCCCGCCATTCGGCCTCACTTTCATCAACCCGAAATAAGCATCAGTTATGTATAGTTCACAAGTCTTCGGATGAAACTTTAATCCGAGCGGTCGACCACAAAATGGCTCCCTCCGGGTGTCGGTTATTCCATCACACAATTGTCTATTCCTAATAACCAAATTGCAGACACATTCTTTTAATAACAAACATAATACTGCAAAATCAATATAATATAATTATGCATCATACGGTAAAGTTGTGTTCATATAATGTGTACATAATTACAGTCTTCAAATTTCATATTCTATCCACCTAATTTCAAATTATGCCAAATTAGTAAACTACATTTCAAATAAAAACATCTGTAAGACGAGTGATTCTATATGTCTATTAATCGATTGCTTATATGCCTTTCTGAAAAAGATATGGAGTATGTATGTAAATTGGCGAATCCAAATTATATCGTCATTATTTCCTAAGCTGATGTACGTTTTTGAAGAAGATACGGAGCTAGTATATATTAACCAATCCAAATTATGTTCTTTCCCCTAATTTTACTATTTTATACGGAGTAGTTAAAATCATTCTTGAAAACTGTTCAATTACAAATTAGATAAAAATACACTTCATATATATGGATAGAATTTGTAGCCTTTTCTCAATTATAATATTATTACTACGACCACATCTTTTTAATGTAAGAATCGAAAACAAAAAATCCCAAAACCATACTATGTATATATATACGATCGTATAATGGATTGAAAACATCGATAAACGTTATGGCCCAGCCAGTACACATTTATGAATGTTAAAAATAAATAAATATTGGAATATGCGTACCTATTATGTGTCATGACAGCAAATTCAGTCCAATCTCGGACAGATTCCTCCCATCTTAAGATTCTCCCATCGGAAACACCGACATATGGTCCTCTTCCGTTACAGTCAAAAGCAATACTCTCCGGGCCAACGATTCCGTTCGGTAAATTTATTTGATAGTAATGATCCGCCGGAACCGGGAACGACAGCCCGCCGGCGAATAAGATCATAAAAATAAAGAAAGTGATTAAAGCCATGAATAAGCTAGACTAGTTGAAGATCGAACAAAGAAATTGATTGGGATATGATTATGCTTGCATGCTACGTGCAGCATCTAATTGTATTTATAGAGAGAAAACTATTTAATTAAGCAAGTATCCCAGTCCTAGTCCTAATAAGTTAATGACTATGGCAGTCATGATCAAGTAGGATTATGAGGTAATAAATAAAGTATCCTAATCAAGTATTAATAGACGTAGTATTTTAATTCCTTCTCGGATTAATAATAGTTTAATATTCTTATTATTGTTGTAATTTAATAATAATTAATTAAAGAGTGCTCCGTACTCCGGAATTCTAAATGTTTTTTTTTTTTTAGATATTTGGCTATATTAATGTCTGTGTTCTAATAATATTTATAATAACACCAGATAATCCCGACTTGGACGGATTAAAAATGGGCTCATAAAACCATACATCTAACATGAGAGAAAACATTGCCGCTTGAGATGAGAGAAAACATTGATTAACATGATTACTAGAGATCAATATTTGAAATATATCTTGTTTAATTTGAGCTCAAAGACTTCACATAAGAATTAGGTATGGTGTGTGTCACTTGTATAATATTTTCACGTAATGATGCTGAACCATAAAGCTAAGTCTTCACAAAAGTCTCATACTTTTTAATAGTCAAGACATTAGGAGTCCGTTTGGTAACATTTATATTGTCTGAATCGACTGGTTCAACTGAAATTTATGAAGATTCGGTTGAAGTGGATAGATTGGTGGATTCTGCTGGTTTATGAAAATATTATATTTAAAATATTTTTTATTAATAAAATAAAGAAAAAATTATATAAAAATAGCTAAAATGATTCTCTACAGTAATTCAGCCAATACAATTAGAAAACTAACTTCAACCTTACTTTTCTTATTATTACACAATTCAGCATGCAAAATCAAGAGTTACGTGTTTGGTGAAAATAAAAATTGATTGATAAGCCGAAAAATAGAGATACCAAACAGACTCTAAAATTTTGCATTGAGAATGATTACAAGGAAAATCTAGAGAATCAATCACGTACTTACATAACAAATAAAAATACGTTATTTGGTTAAATGTATTATGTATAATTTAGTTTTAAGTTAAACGTTAAGTCATTGTTGTGCTAAACTGGATGCAAATTATATTAAAAAAACATTCGATAGACACTCTAAGCAATTTATTCCTAATTACCTATTTTTGAACTTGACATAAAAAATGAGAAAAATAACATAAATAACTTAAACTTTGAAAAGGTGTGAGAGAAGCACCCAAACTTGGGTCAACAATACATACTCGAACTTTTATTTTTAAGGAAAAACTGATTATATTAATATTATTGGGATTCAGATTGTTACAACAAATTCCAAGAGACCAACAATATTGACAACACCTATCCGTAACCAACTAGCACTATTAACCCTACGCTAGACTCAGAGACAATCACTCCTGAAAGAGCAATATGAATTGCAAACCACCAAAACGGGCGTGACACAACAATCACAGACAATATAGATCATTCTAACGACAAAATATCCAGCAGAATTGCCAATCATTATTATAGACAAGAACTAAAGACATCAACAAAAATAGAGAAACATAAAACATAACGCGAAAATAAGACCATAAAAAATAAAATATCTGATAAATCTTCCAAACCCTAGCTCCTCGATCGCTTCAAGACGGTGGTTCAGGAGAGGGGCGGACCACCGATTTGTCTTCTCTCTTGCTCAGCCCTTCACTTTTCCATGTTTGCTCGTTGCCCGTGCTGCCTCCACTACCGCCACCGCCCTCCACCCATGTTGACCCCCAAAAGCTAACTCTTCGATCTCCTCCTCAATTGCTGGAATGGGACAACGCTGCTCTAGAGCATACATAGAAGTCATAATTATCTTTTCTCGACTGTGCACTGATCAAAATGTCAAAGAAAAACTAACCGCATAAGTGCGACATTGCACCACTTTGGACACGCGAGAGAAAACCTAGTTCTCGAAAAGCAAGAGAAAAACCTAGCTTTCGACGTGTATACTCAATTAGAAAGCGTGAGTTCTGCGTATTGATGATATGCCATAATTGTGAAGAGGTTTACATATACCCGAATTTTATATATTTTTTTTTGGAGAAATGAAATTTTATTGAAGTAAGAGAGGAGAAAGTACACGAGAAAAACAGAATGCAAAGTAGCTAAAAGGAACAAAAAACAAAAACAACCCAAAGTACAATAAGAAAAACATCCCTGGAACCTGTCCCTATGAGCTTAATCGAGTCTTCCGAATTCCACTCTTGATTGAGATCTAGTTCGCATGTGATGTGAACATTGATGCTTTTTCCTGTACACTTTGATTTGAGTGTTCAAGTTCTGTGTTGGTAAGCAGTTTTCCACTGTGACCATTATTCGAGATTTGTAGCAAATATCCTGATTTGCGTCAGAATCCCATAGATCCTCCTCTAACGATATATGAGTTCTTTTCTCGCTCTCTGAAGCATTGCCCATAAAATCATCTCCTGAGTATGTAGAGGTTTTATATAAAAAGATATTTTTTCACCCTCATTATATATGTTTTGCAAATATAAACTTATTGGACAAGTATATAACTTAAAACTCTCTAAGCTTTGTTTGGATGCATTCTAAAATTTTATTTTTGAAATAAATAATATTATATTTGGTATAAGATGCTATTAATTGGATCATCATAAATGTTTTGTGTATTTAAAATTATGTATTTAACACCATAAGAGTTGAGATATCCTCCCTCCGTCCCTTTTTATTTAGCTAATCACTATTTTCCAAGTCAAAGATGTTAAATTTTGACGGATTATATATTAATACACGGTAATTGTTGATAATATGAAAATGATATGAAATGTTCTTTGTTAAAATACAATCACAAAAGTATAAATTTATTAATTTTCACATAAATATATTAATTAAAATAATGGATCAAAGTTTATCATCTTTAATTGAAAACGTAAAAAATGGCTAAATAAAACGAGACAAAGATAGTATATTATATACGTAGTACTATTTTATATACGATAATATTATATACTATCGTATATACACGTTTTGGATATTTTTACGATAATATAAATATACAAGTTTTGGATATTTATTTTATTTTCTCAAAAACAATACAGGTAGTCAACATGGGGGTGTTGCTTTGTGCACCACCAAAGTGACTAGGCGCGCCTCTATTATTCTACTCTTGGACGGATTAGTCCTCTTACACTGTCTTATAGCCTTGTGCTCACGGAAACTCACATAGAAATTCTTTCCACTAATTCCAACGCTTTTCCAATTTGTTTTCTTTCCTTTCAATTTTTTTTGATCGTTCTTTTTCTAAAGTTTTTTTTGGAAAACGTTCTTTTCCTAAAGTTAAAACCTAATTAAGGTTTTACTTTCAGTAAAAAAAAAAAAGGTTTTACTCATTAATTTTAGGGAAAATGGAAACTAATAATCCAACATTTTAGCGGTCTTCTTTTAATAGTTCCACCTTTTCGTTATTCATGAATAATACAATCTTTGCACCTCATCTTCATTCACTGGTCCCCGACCGGTTGATGACCTGCTATTCCGAGTTATTTTCTTATCTTTGCAAAATATTATCTTTGTGAAAGGTGGAATTTATGGTATAATAGTTTGAAGAGATAAGAAAATAACTCGGAATAGCAGGTCATCAACCGGTCGCAGACCAATGAATGAAGATGAGTTGCAAAGGTTGGATTATTCATGAATAACGAAAAAGGTCAGACTATTAAAAGAAGACCGCTAAAAGTCGTCCAATGTTGCTTTGGAAACGTCGTCCAATGTTGCTGGCAGCTGGGGTGGGTGCCGTATCCTGACATTCTGATGGATTATCCGGCGTGCGTCCCCGATGATCGTCCTGCCAACCATAGTGTGGGGTGCTGGCATTGGTGAGCCCCCTAGTCCCATGGGAGCTCCCTGCCGACGGGCTCCGGCCCAACCTCGTGTGGACGGATGCCCGGCATTCTGCAGAATCCGCTGTCTCATCCAGGGACTGCATGTGGTGGATTGGCGGTATGGCCGTCCAGATGGTGTTGGCCGAGTACACCTCCTCGTCAGCCATTCAGCGCATGGTTTCTGCCAGCTCCCTCATGAGCCGGGGATCGCGTCTGGCCTCATGTGGGATGAGGTTGGTGAGGCCACCGTCGTCCCTGGCAGTTCCCAGCGTTTCTGAACGCTCAGTGGTTTGCCCGCGGCTCCTCCGTCCGCGAGACAATCGCTCCGAAAGGTCATGTGGTTGGTTGTTTCTTGCCATCGTGCTTGTTGTGGGTAGATTTAGTAGCTGTTTGGGAAAGTTTTGGAAACTTTTAGTTCAGTTTCCCACAGACGGCGCCAGTGTTGAGGTTTATTCCTTCAACCCTCGGGTCCAACACGTAAGCCCAAGGATTTCGAGTGGAGTGTATATGAATATCTAGCCCAACTAGCAAGTGATATGGATCAAGGAGAACAGTAAGCAGCGAATAAGTGATTAGGTATTATTATCTGTTAATAACTCCCTAATACAATACTTTCGCTAAGGCTCGTCGGCCGTTCGTCTTACAAGGTAGTAGAAGTGCTATGAATAAGAATGCTATAGCTAGATTGCTAAGAATAGAAAGTTGCCAACCCTTTACAATGAAATAAATGCTTCTATTTATACCGCCAATGGGCAGTAGGCTACGCTGACGTGGAGGACTGCGGATGGCTGGTGTCTCAACCACCAAATCTTCAGCATTAAATGCACTTCCCGCCAGAATCTAGGTTTCCCGCCTAATTAGTGGCGACGTTCGTCCAGGTGGGGAGGTGATTCGCTCCTGGTGCTTTCCCAAAGGGTATCGGGCCGTTCGTCCTCTGGCCCTTTGTGGATTTCGCCATGTGGATTGGACTGCCTCCAACGGCTATGGGCTTGCTTCTGACGACGTTCGTCGTCATTCTGGGGGCCTGTCGGCCTGTTCCTTGTTGACTGCGTAGACGTTCGTTGATATGGCGGGTAAACCCAGGCTTTGGTGACAACGTGCGTCCCTTCCAAGTTGCCTGTCAGCTTAGCCTACCTAGTTCTGTCCGAACGTCCGTCCGAATAAAAGGGGTAAATGGGCCGAACTTCTACTTGGGCCATTAACCCAACAAGATCTATATAAAAGAACATATGTATGTTCTTATAAAGAGGTTACTCTATGCGTTCTGTTTTCAAGTGTCATTTAAGGTATATGCATACATACGAAGCAAATAAAAACATGCAGCTTATTGAGGAATTAAGAAAACAAATGAAGCAAACAACAACAAGAACCTTAAATCAAACCTTTTAGCACATTAGAAATTGCAATCCGATCATATCCCCAAGCAAATACATAAGCTTGTCTTGTCCCGGAAGAACAGCAATCATGTCACTCAAAAAAATATTCTCTTTTTGAGTGAGGCATCTCATAATCAACCGACATCATAAAATTTTAATAGCAATTAGCACTATAAACTTTTGAAATAGCAGACATCTCATCTAATCAATTCGTAATTTTCATACAAATATCAGTTAAAGTGATAATTGAATTCGGACTTTAAAAAAGAAGAAGGGGGTTTTCTTCTTATTTCATAGACCCTCAGAATAAAAAGGATAAATCTTACCCGGTAGCAATTTTATTGATGAAGCAGATGAGTTCCGGCTTAGAACAATTACGGTTCTACAGTGGCTTTGGCAAGGGGATAGGTGGATTCCCGATAGTATGCCGACATGTTTGCTGTTAGAAGTGAAGATAAAGATGAAAGAAGGAGATGGTTCGAGATACAAAAAAAACCGAGTCTGGACTCTAGACAAGTGAATAGGAGGTTTTATTATATTATGCAGGACTGCAGGGTTGAGAATGCAAATTTTTAAAGTTTTAAATGAAATTTCTTACCTGGAATATGCTCCAATTATATTAAGCCACATGAAGAATGCACTAAAACATTCTACAACAGGAATGCACGGGAACATTATATATAGTGGGATTTGTGTGGTGGAGAGTTGTGCAGAGGAGAGAGAAATGTGTAAGAATGTGTAAGAATGGTTGTGAACCACAAATTCTTTGCCAAAAAGGGGAAAATGAGATAATTTTGGGACGGACGAAAAAGGAAAGTTTGAAGATAATTTAGGGACGGAGGGAGTATTATTTTCTTTCTGGCATCTTTTCGACCTTTACTGTTTATAGTGTTCTACTACACACATATATAGCATTTTGATTTTGGCTAAGAAACATTTCCCATTTTCTTTTTTTAGTAGAAACATTTCCCATATTACTTGAGAAGAATTAAATGTACAAATACAATTGAGATTCGTATAGTAGAAATAATTATAAACATCAAGTTTTTGGCCACTTTAACAAATAAATAAAAGTTAAAATGTATCCTATCAAATTAATAAATTTATATACAAATTAAAAGTAAACACATGTCAACCAAAGCTTCTAATAAGAATCACACGTAGATCCCTAAAAAAAATGAATCACACGTATCAACCAAGAGCTAACAAAACCTGGACCAACAAACAAAAAGAACTAATTAAGGGAAAACTATAAGATTGGCCCTCGTACTATGTCATTAACGGCAATTAAGTTCTTGTCACTCAATTAGGTCCCTAAACTATCAAAAAAAAGTCCAATCCAACCTTTTAGCCAGTTTCTAACCGGTTAACCTGGTTACTGCTTATGTGGAGTCTACGTGTGTTAATTTTTTCCATGTTGGCATGTTCCCCATGTATGACCCGATGATATGAGTTTTTGCCATTTTTGGTCCCTCGACTATTATGTCAATGACACTTTTGGTACTCGACTTCTAATTTTTCTTTTTTTAGTCTTTCACTATTGTGCTAGAGACACATTTAATCCCCAACTTCAAGGTTTCCCACATTTAATCCCTGAGTATTGTCAAATTGACACTTTTAGTCCTCCCATTATGATTTTGGCACAATAAGTGAAGGACTAAAAATGTCACTATTATAATAGTTGAAGGATCAAAAGTGTCATTTTTATGAAAGTTGAAAGACTAAATATAGAAATTTTCAAAGACAGGTACTAAAAGTGTCTATAACGAAATAGTCAAAGGCTAAAAATGAAAAAAATCAAATTCGGGTACAAGTGCCAACGACGTAATAGTCGGAGGACTAAAAGTGGAAAAAACCCGAATGATATCTACTGCCGAGTGCCGACAAAGGAATGACCATGACCTCCACCTTTAAATTCTTGATTTCTTGAGGCCGACCAAAGCAAGCAAGAGATTGTAGATCTTCGGAGTAACGATCCTGTAATTGAACCTCAAGCAAAAATGTTCACTTAGAACTCCATAGCTAATTTATAGTAAGGCTGAACTGCGTTTGATGTTGTGAGACGGCTCGAAACCTCCAAGTCGCCATTAATGGTGGAAAGCGTTTGCTAATATGCAAAACCCTGAACAGAAACCTGCGGTACAAGACTTAGCTTTGTAGAAACCTTGTAAGGAATTGAAAGGTTCTTGTAGAAATCCCAAATTTTTAAGACTTAGCTGTAGAAGATAATTCCTCGTCGTCGTTTCCTTGCTTAGTAGAATGGAGAAGATAAAGCTCAACTCATCGCCGGCGCCTTGCTCAGGCTACTGGAAGCCTAGATCTAATTTTGGGTGTGTAAATATACCAAAATACAGCTATAGTTTATTTTATTTTTTACTTTAACGGGCCACCGGTCATTAACTGGTTGTAAGACCTAATTGAATCTTTTTTATAGTTTGAGGGTTTGATTGGGTGATTCTGAAGTACAAGGATTTAATTGACATTTTTGTCATAATAGAGGAACTTATTTGATAGTCTTCCCAACTAATTAATGAATTCAGAATGTAGCCAACAAAGGAAAAGTAAATCTAGAATCTACTTCGTATTTTAGAAGAACTGGCTTGCTAGAACTTGGGATAATATTGAGATAATGAAACCAAAACTTGGCTCTAGACATTTCAGACATGCATAGAGTCAAACAAAATCTTTATCCCCACATACATTTCCTATATAGTTCGGCAGTGCAACTTAGAGTAGTATATATCCAAACCAAAGAAAATTTACTAGGCATGAGACAATGTAGGAGTGAGTCTTCGGGCAGAATTTGGGCACCAAGAAACTTATTCTTCTAGTCCTCATATGAGCTATCAAATATCGTTCCAATTTTATTTGATGTCCCTAAAATGACATGAGGTATCAAGTATCAACTATAATACAACATTTATTAAGTGTCATTATTTTGATTATTTAAATTCTTTATTTCAACAAAAGATGTTGATGCTACCTTAATGTGAATTTTATTAAAGTGTCATTTCATTTTCGATTTTTAAAAATAAGAGTACTCGATCGGTGTACTCATTTTCATATACGGAGTGCACATTATTATTAAAGTTTCAGTTCCATGTGCCAGGAAATATAACTTCTACCCCGTATTTTGGAAGCTTAATAAAGCAATATATGAAATTGAATTCAATTCTTAATGCCTTTATATTTTTTTGAAAATCAAATAACCATTTTATTGATAATCAAATCTTAACAAGAAACATAACAACTAAAAACCGAAGCATTACAATCATAACGTTCAATACTACACTAGGGTGAGACAAAGAACAAAAACGCCATATAAAAGCACTCATGTTCGCTAACCCTGCAAAAATGTAGACTCGTACCGCACTGTGTCTGCTCATGCTACTCGAAATGGGTTCGGCTTGACCAGCCACCGAAAAGGAATTATTGAACTTGCCGGTTTTTTCAACCACCGGTAAGGAGCCAAGTGCAGAAATTGTTTCGGTTTGACCAGTCATCGGAAATAAAGCAATCCATCCAATGTCATCTTCCTGGATCGGCGGTGGTTCAGGAGGGGGGCGATCGGCCTCTATATCAATGCAGAAGAAATCCTTATTCATGATGGATAAAGAAGCCAATACAAACCTCTTACTAGCACACAAGAACACCCGACCGATGATGACGAGGAATATAGATCTGGCGAGCGACACTTCGCCATCGAAAATTATATCTCTAGACAACGCTAGGAAATAAACATATAGATAGAACTGAAAATACTGATTAAACAAAACTTTTTCCATGACTGAAGTCATGCCCAATGCCTTTATATTTTAATATACTTTTATGAAGTATACGTGTATAGTATGGATAACGTTTTGTGTTCCTAACAAATCAACATCCAAGCCTCAGTCCCGAAAGTTATTGGGATCGCCGGATCGGCAAGTTAGTGTTGGTGATAAAGTCCCACACTGGTAAATTAATTAAGAAGCATTAGAGTGCTATATTAAGTTTCGGACTACTCCTCCTAATAAGTTGACCTTTTAATATGGAGCCCAGATTTAACGGTTGATAAATGGTAAAAAATTGTGACAAGCTAAGCCAAAGAAACATGCTTAAACTGGCATTTGTTAACAAGATTCGTTCTTTGGCGTTTGACTTCAATATATCATGCAGTATCTTCTCAGAATGAACTTGTGAAGGAACTCCTTGTGACAGAGGCTGGAACAAAGTGTGATAAGTTAAATGTGGATGCTTGTACTAGAAGAATCAACCACTTAATTTTCCAGATATTACGTAATTAGTCTGCATCAGTGCATACTTTAGGCGTGCTTCATGTTAGTCGACCCGAACTCTTTGAGATTAAGGCTCGGACGTTGTTGCTACATGTGTCAGTGCATAGAGACGGTTGGCTAGAACCCTCTATTAGTTGCGTCGAACCCTCTACTAAAGGATGCTTTATTTTATCGAAGCGTTAAAGCACTCTAAATGAGATTATTCTCAACTCGAAAAGGTGAAACCACCCACTGCAGGCGTCCCTACACCGCGAATCGACAAAATAAATGAGATTATTCTCTATACTGCAACTAGATAAAACACACAAACTCGAATGTTACCAATAATTGTTGTATTATTATTCCCTAATTGATTATACTACATCCGTTCTAAATTGATTTGCAAATTTGACTTTTCTTAGTCAAACAGTTTCATTTTATTCGCTTAATTAGGATGTCAATTTTTAATTACATTCTAATTTGGAGTTTACTACTTTGAAGAGATTTTAATGTAGTTTATGAATATATAAATTTTAATTATTAAAAACTGAATTATTTATCGATGGGAAGCATTGACCTTTATTACTGGTTGACCAAAAAATGCTAACTTTGCAAAGCAATTTGGGAGGGAGCAGTGGCGTATCCAGAAATTTTTGTCAGTGGGGGCGAATTTAAACAAACTATCTCACACGTCATAAACAACAACCACAATAATAAAAGATAGTGTAAAATCAATTAAAATAACAAAAATATTCACGGGACAAAATATTACCATATCATACTTAAAAATTTCATGGCAGATAAAATTTTACTTTGTGTAAAAAAAATTTAATCACATAGTTTGTAAATTTTAATTTATTCAAAATTATGTTAGCAATAAGAACCAAATAAGAAATGAGTCAATTATTTATTTAAAATTAACTTAAGTTGCGAATGCACAAGTATATTTAAAAATTAATTATACTAAATGTAATAATGAATTGTTAAAATTCACAAAACATATTCAATTTTTTTAACTGTAATTAAATTGAAATAGTTCAAAACAAGCAAAAATGTAAATGCAATGCAAAAATAACTTTACATTAGTTTAGAGCTCTTGTAAAAAAAACTAGCTTAGAGCTCTTGTAAAAAAGGTAGTTCAGAGCACTTGTAAAGAAAAGTAGTTGAGAGCTTCAAATCGTCGAAGTCTTGAGCTACCACAGATACTAAGACACGGATCAGCTCCGAATCCACTCTACTGCAGCTGCTCAGTTGTCAACAAAGTCGTTTCTAATGTTTAAATTACTTATATTAATACCTATCTACACATATAATTT